GACAAAAAACTTGTTGGCTGTAAATGGGTATTCACCCTTAAATACAAGTCTGATGGAACACTAGAAAGGTATAAAGCAAGACTAGTAGCTAAGGGGTACACACAAACATATGGGATTGACTATCATGAGACTTTCTCTCCTGTCGCAAAAATGAGCACTGTCAGAATTTTGTTATCTCTAGCAGCTAACTATGGATGGAATTTGCAGCAATTCGATGTCAAGAATGCTTTCCTACATGGCAACCTTGAAGAGGAAATTTACATGGAGGTCCCACCTGGGTTTAACTTTGAGAAAGACAAAGTTTGTAAGCTAAGGAAGGCCATTTATGGACTGAAACAGTCCCCTAGGGCCTGGTTTGGCAGGTTTACCACTGTGATGAAAGATATGGGATATAAACAAAGTCAGGGAGATCACACTTTGTTTACTAAGCATTCAGCCTTAGGGGGAGTTACTGCACTAATTGTTTATGTGGATGATATAATTGTAACAGGAAATCATCAAGCAGAAATGGATAACCTAAAAGTGTGTTTGCTAAAAGAGTTTGAAGTAAAAGAGTTGGGCAGATTAAAATATTTTTTGGGCCTTGAAGTGGCACACTCTCGTCACGGTATTTTCATCTCTCAACAGAAGTATGTGCTGGATTTATTATCTGAAACTGGTAAATTGGGATGCAAACCAGTAGAAACTCCAATTGAACAAAATCACAGACTTAGTGAATTTGTTGAAGATGCAACTGTGGACAGAGAATCCTATCAAAAGTTGGTTGGAAAGTTAATCTATTTATCTCACACTAGGCCAGACATAGCTTATGCAGTGGGAGTGGTGAGTCAATTCATGCATAATCCCAAAGAAAATCATCTTAGAGCTGTTTACCGAATTTTGCAATACTTGAAGGGCACTCCTGGAAAAGGAATTCTATTTACAAAGGGTCAAGGAATTACTTTGGAAGCCTATACAGATGCTGATTATGCTGGATCAGTAGATGACAGAAGATCCACATCCGGATATTGTACTTTTCTTGGAGGAAACTTGGTGACTTGGAGGAGCAAAAAACAAAACGTTGTTGCGAGGTCAAGTGCAGAAGCAGAATTTCGGGCTATGGCTTTAGGTATTTGTGAACTCCTATGGCTGAAAATAATTCTACAAGACCTAAAGATTGAATGGAATGGACCCATGAAACTATATTGTGACAACAAGTCAGCAATAAACATTGCACATAATCCAGTGCAACATGATAGAACGAAGCATGTCGAAGTAGACAGACATTTCATCAAGGAAAAATTGGATAGTGGGACAATATGTATACCATTTGTATCAACTGGAAATCAGCTGGCAGATGTTCTTACAAAAGGATTAAGTGGTTCTACATTGCAATCTATTATCGGCAAGTTGGGAATGAGTAACATCCACTCTCCAACTTGAGGGGGAGTGTCAGAACGAGCTGTACATGTGTTAATTAGTGGTATATTTTATAGTTAAATAGGATTAAAATCCCATAAATAGGATTTGATTAGCTGTGTATGTATTTATAGAAATTATTGGTCCTTACTTATAGAATTGATTGAGGGCAATGATAAGTATTTATTAGGAATTTCCTTTCCTAAATATATTGTATTCTATTTAAGAGCACAGGCTGCTCTAATCAATAATAATAAAAACATTATCTCTGTCAGTTTTCTCCCAACAGTTTATCCTTCACTCCTTCACAAAAGATTCCCCCTTTCACACAAACTATTTAATTTTCTGTATTAATCCTTTCTACTTTTTCCCTTATTTATCTAGTTCACTCTCATCCAAAATCAGCTTGTTGGATGAGACTTTTCCCACTTGTAAGCACATGTACAGACCATATATTGTTCGATGTGAGATTCTTAACTCCCCCTCTCACACCCAAGATTGAACGTTTGGAGCGTTGATCTTATTGAATTAGGAGAGACTAAGAGACCTTTAGGTTAAACCGTGTGTTATGAAAGCACTACGGAGACTTTATTATATATAGAGAGATTACAACTAATTACACTATATAATCGATGTGGGACTATTCTACATACAAATATCAACACTCCCCCTCAAGCTGGAGCATATAAGTCAAATGCACCAAGCTTGCCACATATATAATTAGTTCTGGGGCTTCGCAGAGATTTTGTAAACACATCTGCCAATTGATCATTAGAGTTGACAAAGCTTGTGACGATGACGCCGGATTCGATCTTCTCTCTGACAAAGTGACAGTCTATCTCAATATGTTTGGTCCTCTCATGGAAGACTGGATTTGAAGCAATGTGCAATGCAGCTTGATTATCACATACAAGTGTCATTGGTCTTGCTTCTTCAATTTTAAGTTCTTTGAGCAACTGTTTTAACCAAATGAGTTCACATGTTGCCATTGCCATGGCCCTATACTCTGCCTCGGCGCTTGATCTTGCAACTACATTTTGTTTCTTACTTTTCCAGGATATAAGATTTCCTCCAACAAGTACACAGTACCCAGAGGTGGATCGTCTATCAATTGGTGACCCTGCCCAATCAGCATCAGAGTATCCAACTATCTGAGTATGTCCTTTATCTTCATACACTAAACCTTTTCCTGGAGCACATTTGATGTATCTTAGAATCCGGATAACAGCATCCATGTGTTCCTGACAAGGGGAATTTAAGAACTGACTTACCACACTGACTGCAAAAGAAATGTCTGGACGAGTGACTGTGAGATAATTCAACTTTCCAACCAATCTCCTATACCTTCCCGAGTCTGATAGAGGCTTCCCCTGATTGGGTAGTAGTTTGACACTTGGATCCATAGGAGTGTCAACTGGTTTAGCGTTCAACAAACCTGTTTCTTCCAAAATATCCATAGCATATTTCCGCTGAGAAATCACCAAACCATCTTTAGATTGGGCTACCTCAATACCCAAGAAATACCGGAGTTTACCAAGATCCTTTGTTTGAAATTGATTTGAAAGATGTTGTTTCAACTGGAGTATTCCCGACTCATCACTACCAGTTATGACAATATCATCTACATACACAATAAGATAAATACACCCTTGTACTGAGTGACGATAAAAGACAGAATGATCAGCTTCACTACGGACCATACTAAATTGTTGTACTACAGTGCTGAATCTGCCAAACCAAGCTCTCGGAGATTGCTTAAGACCGTAAAGAGACTTGTGTAGCCTACAAACCATATTCGATGACTCCCCCTGAGCAACAAACCCAGGTGGTTGCTCCATATATACTTCCTCTTCAAGATCACCATGTAAAAATGCATTTTTGATGTCAAGTTGATGAAGAGGCCAGTGTCGAATGGCTGCAATGGCTAGAAGAAGTCTAACAGATGCCATCTTGGCTACAGGCGAGAAGGTATCACTATAATCCAACCCAAAAATCTGAGTGTATCCCTTGGCTACCAAGCGAGCTTTAAAACGATCAATCTTACCATCTGGACCAACCTTCACTGTATAAAGCCAACGACAACCTACTAAAGATTTTCCAGTGGGTAGAGGAACCAGTTCCCAGGTACCACTGCTTTGAAGAGCACACATTTCATCAATCATTGCTTGCCTCCACTCAGGGTGAGATAATGCTTCACCTGGAGATTTAGGAATAGAAACAGAAGACAAAGAGGACAAACAAGTATACTGCAAAGGGGAAAGACGATGATAGCATAAATCAATATAATGTGGAGAAGGATTTCGTGTTTGACGTATACCTTTGCGAAGGGCAATCGGAAGATCAGACTCAGGTTGCAGGATCGAATCCGGTGATGGCGATAGCGTCGGAGGAGAGTCTGCAATGACCTCAGGGACATGTACGACCTCAGGGACATGTACGACCTCAGGGACAGGTATGACAGACGTTGGTTTACGACGCTGATATGTTTGAAGTGGACGAGAAGTGAGGGGGTCAACCGTAGGGGTTTCTCGTGGGACAGGTTCCCTAGAATGATGGGGAATAATGGGAAATGGGACGTCCGGAAGAGGTGTGGGAGTACTTTCCTGAAGGGGTTCCGGAGTGACTTGGGTGGACGCAAAATATGGCACAGACTCGAAGAAGGTAACATCGGCCGATATCAGGTATCGTTGCAGAGTGTGTGAGTAGCAACGATAACCCTTTTTGGATCGATGATAACCAAGAAAGACACACTTTAGTGATCGAGCTGATAGTTTATCAAGACCAGGGGAGAGATTATGCACAAAACATGTAGACCCGAAGACTCGAGGAGGAATTGGATGAAGAGGAGAGTTTGGAAACAAGATTGAATGAGGGATTTTATTATTAAGGACGGATGAGGGCATGCGATTTATGAGATAACACGCTGTGAGCACAGCATCCCCCCAAAATCTGAGAGGGACATTACCATGGAGAAGTAGAGTCCGAGTGGTTTCTACGAGATGCCGGTTTTTGCGTCATTGCCCTCACTTATAAACACATGTTCAGGCCATATATTGTCCGATGTGGGACTCTTAACACACCCCCTCACGCCCAGGACTAGACAACTGGAGCGTGGAAAATAAATGGTGGATGGCCCACTGGATCTTAAACGAGGCTCTGATACCATATTGAATTAGGAGAGACTAAGAGACATTTAGGTTAAACCGTGTGTTATGAAAGCACTACGGAGACTTTATTATATATAGAGAGATTACAACTAATTACACTATATAATCGATGTGGGACTATTCTACATACAAATATCAACAGATCTAAATGGTGGGTGGTCCCAACAGATCTTAAATCAGGCCTGATACCATCTTAGAATGTCTGGGTTTAGCCTAACTCAATCCTACAAAACCGGCTTGTAAGGTGGGAATTGCCTCCACTTATAAGCACACGTTCAGGCCATATATTGTCTAATGTGGGACTCTTAACAAGATTCATAAGTACTTGTTGCATTCTAAATTAGCTCAAGTAAACTTCATTGTGGATTAGCATTTGTCATAAACAAATAATAGTATGGGAGAAACCAGAACAACATCAATTTATGTGACAAGCACCGTAGGAAAGGACGCCGGGGCATAGGTATCATCGTCTTCTGCAATCACCAGAACTTCATCTCCTTCTTGCATAACATAGGAGTCATCAGGGTTCAAAATGATTTTACCACCATATGATGCAACTTTGATTCCACATGGAATTGCAGTAGGAAAGCTGATTAATACATCTTCAAACTGCATGCCATCCAACTGCGGCCATCTTTTGATGTAGAATTCACAATTTTCAAAACCAAGTATATCTTCCCAAATCTGCCAAAGAATGGTGTCAGCTTTTTATTATAAGGAAGAGAGAAGATTACAAAAGAGGAGGAGGTAAATATATCCTCCTAAACTGTACAACAGATGGAAAACTGTATGGAAATGAACAGGGCCAACACAATAGAAGTCTCCAATCACTTTTGAAAGCTGTGACAGAAAAGCATAGCATGTTTGGATGGAGGAGGAGACTTAATGTTATTTTTTAAATTGAGAAAGCTATAAAATGTTCTAAAAATAGATTCAATGTGATTGAAATGTTACATGATGTGTATCATGTTATTTTTTTCTTTTTTTTTTAATCTCAAGTGCATTCCAAAACTTGAAAGTTATGTGATCCTGTATCATGCTATTCATTCATTTTTTAGAAAATATCAAATATATACCAGAATATAGACTTATATCCCTACAAAGTTCTTCCCACTAAAATCCTCCAAAACCCTCCATCCAAACATACCGTAAGAGATCAAGGACAAAACGCTAACAGGACAGCACAAAGACAACCCAATACATTATCCAAGCAAACTGTCAACCATGATGTAGTTGCCCTGTCTTGCTATTAATTATTAACTTGAAAAAAATAGTCAAGTACTTTACTAACATCGTGAACTATGCAGCTAAATTTATATCAAAAAGAGATAATAGATTTTTACCTGTGCAAGTCCAGGCTGCCGAGCACATTGAATCATCAAGCGACCAATGACGTCATGAGCTACAACAGTTTCAACAAGATCACCGCCCACAAGTTTAACAAGGACTTCATTGTCCAAATCACTAAGTTCAACTACTATGTGCCCTCGTAATCCTTCTTTGACTCCAGTCAGACTTAAGACTGTTCTTAGAGCTCTGGCATCACTCTATACCAAACAAAAAAACAAGTTAATGGCCATGCACCCAGGTTATGTTAAACTTGGAGCACATCATCACTGAACCAGACCTGATCGGCATTCCCGTCTTCAGCAAGGACAATTATAGAGCGTGCCTTTGAAACAGAAACCTGTATATGAGATAGTGTAAGGAAACAAATTAACAGGCTTAAAAAGATTACTGAAGAAATAGAAATTAAGTAACATCTTTCATCAGAAGGGGACAGAGTAATGCCATAATGATACTGTAACAGACACCAAAAGATAATACATCACTGAGAGATTTGTTTATACAAGTAAGTGAGCAAAGTGATGATGTCCATGTTTTGACACAGCATTTCATGTGATGTGAGAATGATTTGTGAACAGATTGTACAGCAGAGAAAACTTTTACCCAACAAAAAAGCATGTCTAATGATTTCAAACATAATAGAATAAACCAAACAGAGTCTCTTAAACAAATGTGGAAATACATAGCCATACATGCAATTATGAACTTGTTGTGAAAGTCATTTAATATATGGTTAACACTTAACAGTAGATTTCTCACTTAACAGCAGCATACACCTAAACAGGATTCCAATGAAAAGGTTAATGCAGACCCTGCACCTTTCTCAGGTCAGCCAAAATCAAGGGGCTGCCACTTCTGCATATGACAGATGTTCCTTTGAAGTCAAACTCCATTTTTGCAATGTCAAGCTCCATTTGTTCCTTGTCTCGCTCAGCCATCACTGCAACGGTTCCTCCACCGAGACTCTCGTTGGCTATGGAAAGTTGATTTAGCAATGAACCCTGCATACGCAATGACATTATTAGTGGTTGAAATACAGATTTGTTAGGTCATTGAAAATGTGGCGTGGATATCAAATAACCAAGAATGATACCAGTTTATCACTCCAACCAAGAATCAAAGTATGATTTAGCTCAACCACTTGACTTTTTCCCTTCCTGAGTGAATCAAACTTGTCATAAATTCCGTCAGACACGAGTCCAAGCATCATTGCAAATATAAGCATCCCTCCAAAGCTAATTGAAACAGCAACCAACCTTGGAGCAATTCCATGGGAATTGGCATGATTACCAGAGTCAGCAACATAAGTCCAAGAGAGCCAGAGGCAATGCAGTAAATCATGGGAAGTGACACCAAAAAGGGCCAAGGCTCCAATAAAGATGAGTAAAAGTGTTGCAAATAACAAAACAAGGGGTTTAGCATATGGGTAGACGGATAAAAAGACATCAAGGCGGTAGGCAATTAGCTTGTTTAGAGAAACTTGTTGGGATATATTGTCAGCACATGTTGATTTGGAGAGATAGTCAACGTACTTAAAAAAGATGATAGGGATAAGTACAAGTGTGAAGGAGAAAGTAAGGGAAAGGTTTCTGGTGAAGTTTGCAGGCGAAGTAGGTTCAGTTGTGAAGGTGTCCAACTTATGGCAGGCGTGTAATCTGAGATTAAGTCCGAGAATTTGAGCCTTGAAAGAAAGAAAGAAAAAAAGAGGTTGGTTAAGGATGAAGGGTTGTTGAATGATATTGAATTGGAGTTAGTTTACCTGCAAGTAATTTAGTCGGACAAGTAGAAGAAGCAAGAAAAACGCAATAGTGAAAGTCTGCAGCCACAAACAGCAACAGCATAAGAAACAGTAAGGGGGTGGGGTGAGATACATGTATAGAGGGAGGGAGAGCAACCTAACCTACCGCTAGGGCAAACTGGAAACGAAACTGCGGGACAGCAACTTTTTTTGCATCATCGGAAGTCTGAGGAGCTTTATCGTTGGTGGGAGTAGGTGTCCGAGGGAACTTAATGCGGCGACGGCGAATTCCTGGGGTGGGAGTAGGGTGAGGCTTTGGTTCAGAGTATAATCGGCGGGGGTTTTGTGAGGGGAAGAACCAATCTCTGCCGGAGCTGCTGGAAGCTGATATTTCCGAATTCAGGGACATATTCAACCTCTCCACCTTAGCCTCTCACTTCCTACCGCATCACTAAATAGGATAATTCCATTTAATAGCCTTCTCATTATACAAAACTATTTAGATATAACATTCATGCACGTACCAATCTAAGTTATGGTTAAGGGGAATGGAATTTTGTGTCTCAACGTCTTACTATCCATTTTGTTTATCATCTATTGGCTCCTGAATTCGACACCTACTATATATTGGTCTTTTAGACTAAAAATGGAATAAATAAAACCAAATTGGAGAATGTTTCGACGGGTGAAATAACTTAGAGAAAATATCTAAGTTGCATATTGGTCTTCGACCAGGAATCACTATCAAGATTTCGACTGAGAAGGTCTTATGACCTTCGACTAAAAGAACATACGTTCGCGTCGACACCAAAGGCGAGGGACATTTGAATTTGAATTATTGGAGGGAAAGACAGTTTCGCCAGCAATTAAAAGAAAGCAACGTGGCTGGAAGCTAGAGGTCGAGGGACATGCAGAGGACACTTGTCTTCATCTTAGAGCAGAACCACCCCTCGACGGTTACATAGTTTTAGTATAAAATAGGAAGTCTGTGTAGTTTTCTCCGGGTGTTCAACCTATTGTGCTAGTTACTCAAATATTGTCCAAGTACCCGCTGTGTGAGAAAGGATAAACTGAGAAATGTACGTTGGAAACACCACTTTTCATTAATAAAGTCTTTTTACATTGCTTTGATCTTATTTTACAAAGTTACTTTTCCTGCATTTCTATTAACTTTCTTACTTTCCAAAACCACAAGTATCTTGTCTTTGGTCGAACGTGCGTTCTTCTTGGATTTCTATTTTTTACATCAATCCAGTATAAAAGTTAGCATATGTTCTGGGATCAATCTGATCGATCCCGCGAGTAATCAAAAGGACTTTCCTTTTTGGAAGATCAGCGGTTGTTTACCAAAAACCACGGTAAACAAATTGGCACACCCGATGGGACGTTGCTCATTTTTATCAAATATCTTGTTCATGTTATTGCTTTTCTTTTTATACATTTATAACGTTGCATGTTATTAAGAAGTGGTAGAATAACCAACGAGTATACTGTTAGGAAGAAAAATAGCGAGAGTAGCATGGCTAACGAGCCAAATCATGGAGAAATACCTCCACCAAATACTACTGGAACAGCGGTTATTACCACCGTTGGAGAAAATATCTCAACTTTGAAGATGTGAAGAACACAAGAAGGGGGGTTGAATTGTAAAAACTTTAAAACAAATGCTTAGACAACACAGTATTTTTATCATGGTTCGTTTAATCTCAAACTACTCAAGTTCACCCGTCAAGGTGATTTCGCCTCTCTCCAACGAGATCTTAATCCACTATATTCAAAGGATTACAACAGCTACTTTAACACATGTTAAAGTCTTCTTGAGTATAACCACAGACCGGTTTATCTCAAGGAAATCTCTTACAAATAATTGAACAATGATGTGTTAACGTTTTCTAATAAAACAATATATCACAACTGTGATAATTACACAACTTAAGCTTGGAATAACTGAATTTGCTAAAGCGTTTGAGTAAGCGTGGTTTTGAAAGCTTTGCAAATTATGTGAGTGCATGCGTGCGTCTTTTCTCACACAGACTTGTTTATATAGACAAGGCAGAGATACGTTGTCCATAAAGCCATTTTAATAATAATAACACATTTTCCTTTTTGAGAAGATCTTGTCTGAGGATAGCCATTAGCATTTAATTCTGTCTTGAATACTTAGTAACGCTTCAGAGTCTTCTTTGCTTATGATAACGCTTCAGAGTGCTGATGACTTGGTAAATATCTTTGATCAGAGTCAGAGTGTATATGTTTATGCGCAGATTCTGGTCATCAAGCTTCAGCGTATGATCTGGTAGCTTCAGCGTGTAGCACATGTTACTGATCTTCTGATGCTTCTGATGCTGATGCTGATTCCATCAGAACTTCTGTATATACAAAACATAATTTTAAGAAGCATATTTGTCTTATATATAAATCTTACAATTTATTTATTCTTTGTATTTTGTTATCATCAAAACTCTAATTAAGGGTTGTAGAATCAAACTATGTTCTAACAATCTCCCCCTTTTTGATGAAGACAAAAACCAGATTTTTCAATTAAAAATAAAGAATAAAAAGTATAGAATTAAGAAGAGAAAACTCCCCCTGAGTTGATTACTTCCCTTTAATTCCATGAGTCTTTGAGCATCAGAACTTTACTGTATCTTTCATCAGAGTTTTGTACCTGCTCAAGCTTTTCAGAAGAGAAAAAATTTAAATAGATCAGAATGTTTGAGACTTATGTCTTAGTAATCCGTTATTGAAAAATATCATTCTTTCTCCCCCTTTTTGTCAGTTATCAAAAAGAACATAAGATCAGAGCTAAAATGCGTTTATATTAAAAACCAGAAGCAATGATAAGTTCAAAACAATGTAAGAAAATTACAGATAAACATGTTATAAAAACAAGGAAATTCTAAGAGGGAGGAGGTAGACGCGTGAACAAGGTTTCCAGCAAGCTCTTGATTTGGATGTTGGTTTCCTGTTGCTGGGTTAACATGCTCTTGATTTCCTCAATTTTGTCATCCTGTTTATCCATTCTTTCATTCATCAACATATCATATCTTTTCAGGTCTTCTAGAGTCTGCCTGTCAAGGGAGGAAGCTTGAGGATCTTCAGAAACTGGATGCTTCCCAGAGCCTTCTGCAATATCCTTTTCTTGACCCAGTTCTTCAGCAGGAATCATCTGCTCTTGAGTATCTAGTTGAACTTTGGATGTTGGACGATGTTCAGACCATGGAGCATTGTCCAGAGGGAGAACTTCTTCCTTAAGTAGCTGGCTTAGAACTGGACCTTCAATTTCTTTTAGCAGATTGCTGAAGTTCTGTTGAGCTTGTCCGTAGCTCTGTTCCTGCAGCTTATGAGTTTCAGAAGATACCCATCTTCTGAACCTTGTCCAAAGGTAGTCTGATGCAGCAGGATCAATCAGCTCAAGACTAGCTTGCTTCAGAGAAGTGATCCACTTCTGTACTTCTGTTTCAAATGTCAATAAGCTGGTACCAACATCTAGATGTTTTGGTTTTGGGATATCTGTTTTGTGGGTTATGGTAGCAAGACGTTCAAAAACTGTTAAGTCAATGACAGTCTTGATGTTGTCTTCTGGATTGTTCTTTGGTGAGGGAGTGGGAGAGTCAGGAATTATTATTGGACTAGATGGGGAATTTGGTGGAGTTGATTCTAGAGAAGAGGGAATTTGGGGAATATTCACAATGGTACCAAGGGGCATACAAATGGTCAGAGGTTCTGTGATTCCAGGAATGGGAATGGTATCAGAATCAACAGTTTAGTTTGATTGATCGTTATGAGGTTCTGGTTCACAGGATTCAGAAGGTTGAGTCTCAGAAGTTTGAACTTATGGGTGAGATAGTTCAGGTTGTGGAGAAGGTGGATGAATTTCTGGTTGAGGAGATGGAGGTAGTGGGATTTCTGGTTGTGGCACTATGCCAGAAATAACCTACGAAAGCGCTTTTTTTGGGCTTTAAAAGCGCTTAAAAGCGCTCTCGTAGGTGGCGCTGCTAAAGGTTTTAGCAGCGCTTTTTGTTCAGAAAAAAGCGCTCTCGTAGGCCTACCTATGAAAGCGCTTTTTGGTAAAAGGCGCTTTCATAGGTAGGCCTACGAGAGCGCTTTTTTCTGAAAAAGCGCTTTCATAGGTGTATTCAGAATGCGTGTCAGGCAATCTAAAGTAGGCCTATAAGAGCGCTTTTTGTTCAGAAAAAAACGCTCTCGTAGGCCTACCTATGAAAGCGCTTTTTGGTAAAAAGGGCTTTCATAGGTAGGCCTACGAGAGCGCTTTTTTCTGAAAAAGCGCTTTCATAGGTGTATTCAGAATGCGTGTCAGGCAATCTAAAGTAGGCCTATAAGAGCGCTTTTTGTTCAGAAAAAAGCGCTCTCGTAGGCCTACCTATGAAAGCGCTTTTAATCAAAAAGCGCTTTCATAAGTAGGCCTACGAGAGCGCTTTTTTCTTAAAAGCGCTTTCATAGGTTTTCTACTGAAAAATCTAAAATTTAAAAAATTTCTAAACCTGCATTTTTTTGCAGCAAACCTGTAATTCTTAAACCGGTATTTTACAATCTAATCTAGAAATACCAATATATATTAGTTTTAATTCAAATACCAAATGTAATTCAAATACCAAATATTATATATATATACAAATACCATTATAATCAATTCATATCCAAAATATATATACACCATGGTAATTCAATATTAACATGTTTTTAAACGTAACAAAATACACCCTAAGAAATCAGCTATATAACACTAAGTAAATCAATCATAATCTACATATATATCCAAGGTCCTGATCCTGCAATATGAACATAATAACACGGTCAGTGTTGTATACACAAAACAATATATTCATAATTAACCAATTTTCACACAACAATGTATTCGTACCTTATTATAAGATTCTTAGCTCAATAAAATATTGGCACAACTCCTCTTTGAGTTCTTCCAATTGACGTGACGAGTAATATGGACAATTGTATTGATCAAAATACTACATTACAAAACAAAATATATGCATGATTTAGTTTAATGTAATAAATTATATGCAAAATCCGATAAGTAATAAAACAAAGTATAAATCCATACCGTGATTGGAATCTCGATTTCATTCATTTGAATGATTTCTTTGATAAACTTCAAAACGAAGTATCCGTAATCTATGCCGTTTTGTTGTTGAGGGCACTACATAGAAAAACAAATAAGATTATACACATCTATTGATTTATCAAGTAGCATAAATATTATAAGCAAAATTGTTGAAATTTATATACCTGTACTTTGATCCAATTAATGTTGTTTGATTTAGACCGTGGTACTCGTGCTTCCCTTTGACATCGGAATACTTGTATTGAACTGATGACAAAATTAAAATATTTATTTAGAACAATAACATTGAAATAATTAAATATATA